GCCGGAGAGCGCGGCCGAGCCCGCCGCCGCCGTCCCCGGGCCCCCGAGGAGAGAGTCCCGGCTCGGCTGCCGCGCGAGCAGCGCCTTCGGCGGCCCGGCCTGCGGCTGAGATACACAGAGCAATAGAGATATTTATTGTTATTATTTGCTTTTTTGGTGGCAAAAGGGAAAATGGCGAACGACTCCCCTGCAAAAAGTCTGGTGGACATCGACCTGTCCTCCCTGCGGGTGAGTGGGCCCGCGGGTGGGCGCGCGGGGAGCGGGCGGCGGGGGCCGCGCCCTGGCCGGCCGGGCGCTCGGGCGCCGCTGTGGGCAGAGCCGCGGGCGCGGCGGCCCCTTTGTCTGCCTGTGTCGGCTGGTGCGGGGACGCGGGGCGCGACCCTTCGCCGCTCCCCGCGCCCCGGCCGCCGCGCCCCGCATCCCGGCTCGCCACGCGACCCTCGGGCGCTGTGGGACCACACGGGGCGAGACCCACCTCTTTTGTCGCCACCGTTTCTCTCCAGCTGCCCTGCTTTATTTCATTTTTTGGCCTCTTTTAAATTATAACCCCTCCCCTCCTTCCTCTCCAGGATCCTGCTGGGATTTTTGAGCTGGTGGAAGTGGTTGGAAATGGCACCTATGGACAAGTCTATAAGGTCGGTGTGGGCGCCTTCTTTGTTTCCCGTGGCATGTTGAAACTTCTTGTTGGGGAACGAGGAAAAGGGTGATAAACACGCTGCAAACTGAAAACCACGCTGCTTGGCCAAAGTTGGGAAAGGGGTTTCGCCTTGTAGTCCCTCTGGTTTTGCACACCGAGTTTATGTTCAGACTGGCCTTGAAAGACCTCATTTCCTGGCTTTGAGATAAGGAAATAAGCTACACTCTTAGGCATGCACTTTTCTTCAGTAAAATGGCAAAGGATTCTTTTCATAAGGCAACCTGTATTTTTTTCTTTTTCCTCCAAATCTGGCCTCCAGAGTTTGAGCGTGAATTAAAATTTACTGTAGGCAGGCCTTGCTTCTGATGGTCCCAAACCTCTGCTTTGGCCTTCTTGAAAATTGTCATCGTGTTTCCTCTTCTGAATGCTTGCCAAGTGCTCAAGGTGGGGAGTTTGGGGTTACCTGGCACTACTTAGAAACTGGCTGTCATACCCTCTACTGATATGTACATATTTTGGAGAAGTAGGGAGGAGTGTGTGTTTGGGCAATAGGAGCAGGAAGAATTACAATGTGGGGATTATAAAATCTGAATTCCAGGAATAACCTGTTTGACAGCTGTGTAATTGAAATAAATAAGGAGAGTGGGGAGTAAAGAGGATGCTCTGGTTTCACACCCACCCAGTTCTTTCTCTTTTTAAAAATCTTAACATCTTCCTCCCACCCCCAACGTATATGAAACTAAAAAATCTGAAGACTGTCTGAGTAGGTGACACCTGATGTGACTAACAGTGTTGTTCATTTTATCCAGTGCACATTCTAGAGTTTCTGAAAGAACTGTAGGTTGTGGAGGCCCAGGCCTTCAAAATTCAAAACAGAATGTTAAATTCTTCCTGTCTTGATTTGTTTCTTTTTTACTAAATGTTTTCTGAAAGTTATCTGCACTGGGAGACTTTCTAGCTGTTACGAGTGGGTAGGAAAAAATATCTTAAGAAACCCGGCTTTGTGGTTCACCATGAACAATTGTTATTGTCTCCATAAAAATGGGTTGGGGGAGGTTGGAAGCTAACTGTAGACATTTTCCTGGGGCAAATTAAGTGTAGATCCTATTGTCTCTTTTCTGCTTTCTGAGTAGGGTTTATCTGTCACTTGAATGAGCCCCAGCTTCCCCTTTGCTGTGCAGTATACTAACTGGCCTGGGGTCTGAACTTGAGTCAGTATTCTTAGGTGATCTCCAGTGAATTAGCATGTGTTTTGTTGGTTAACTGTTGGGGCTTGGGCCAGAGTTTTGAATTTGAAAGAGAGCCCTGTTAACTCAGCCTGCTGGGCTCAACTGAATTTGAAAAGCTTTGGAAAATTTTGGAAAAGATTGTGTTGCAACTCTCTGAGTGGCTGGTAACTGGCTTAAAGACATTCTCTCCAGCCCCAGTGTTTGTTTAAGCATGGTTTGGTTTTTTTCTAACCCAGTTTTTCTGGCCAAATCTAAGCGGTGAATGTACTCTTCCAAGTGAGTTAGCCAGAGCTTGTTTTTGACCTGGTTACACAGTAGTCGGTTTGTTTGTGTCTTACTCGGTCAGCATGGACGTTAAGGGCAGTAAGGTACAAGGCAACAGTCTGTTTTTAAACCATAAGAAAACAAGGACTGAAAGTTGGTTTTTAGAGGTGGGGGCTCTTTATGGTTAGAGTTTGGGCGGCTTCATTGTCATTTCCCCTCCTCATTTTCTCTTTGGTTATATTCCCTGTTTTTTCCCCCAAACTTTTGAAGTAGAATTGCTGAGCATTACATTTGGGAAGCGTTTGGGATACTGTCAGTGACGCAGCTCTCTGGCTACAAAGTCTGTATTTAAGAAGTTCTCTAATTATGCAAACCTAAAGAATAAGAAATCTGTGCAGAAGTTGCATACAATTCAGAACAAAGTAGTGCCTGAAATTTTGCTCAGAGGCAGTTACTGTTTTTTATATCATTCTTGAAATTTTCAAAAATACACAAAGAGAAAGTAGTTAGCTTAGTTTAACGGTTATCAGCACATGACTAATCTTATTTTATCTATGTTCTTTCTCTCTTCCTTTGTCTTAATGTAAACTTCAGATACCATTTTAGCCATAAATACTTTTGTGTGTTAAAGAATTTTTTTTGTTTTTACATAATCACAATGTCATTATCCTTAGTAGAAAAATAACAGCTATCAGTGTTAACATTTTCCTGATTGTCTTACACATATTTTCTTACTATCCCAAGACATTCTTTAATGTTTACACACTGGTACTGGGAACTTCCGTCTTAGAGGTGATGAAAATAGCAGAACATCTTTGTTTTCTTCTTTTGAAGTGTATAATTTCTTGAACCAGTTGCCATTATGCATAGGAGTTAATTTAGCATTTTTTGTTGGCATGATTTGCATGTGGTAGTGTTGGAATTAGATTAACATTCTCTATAGAGTTTGTTGGCTGCTGATAAACATCTCTTAGTATGACTAGCATCAGTGTTTGGAAAGTATTTGTTACTAATTAGTGATATTAAAAAAGGTCTTATTTTTTAAACATAATTTCAGGTAAAACACCTGGAAGCTGAACAACTTGTAATCCTAATTTATTTTAGTGTTATATTTTCTGTTTCATTTTTTAGTTTTTAGTGACAGGTTGCTTATTTTGTGGCAACTGTATTTATGTGGAGTGAATGAGTTGAAAGAGGGAGTTTTCTGAGTTTGGATATGTTGTATGAAAATAGGTTTTTAAATGTAGTTGAATAGTATGTAACTTTATCTTAAAAGAGGGAATTGAAGCTGGGCATGGTGGTACACATATGTAGTCTCAGCTACCTGGGAGGCTGAGGTGTGCGATTTGCTTGAGCCCAGGAGTTTGAGACCAGCCTAGTCAATGTAGTGAGACTATGACCGTTAAAAAAAGAGAGCGAGAGAGGACATTTATTTTCTTTTGAGAAAAGGAAGGGAAGGGTGGTGGGAAATGTTAACTCATAAATTAAAGTTTTAAAAAAAGTTTTGAATTTCTTTTCAGGAGGTTGCATAGCATGCCTTCTGGTTTTTTTTTT